AAACAAAAAACCACTAAAAAAAAAAAAAAAAAAAAAAAAAAAAAAAGAAAAGAAAAGAAAAGAAAAAGGAAAAAAGAAAAATGTATTTGTGACATATAGGAGACACTTTCTGGGGGGAGTTCCAGAGCTAACTCATGCCATAGATGGTTGAGGGTTAGATTCTAGAGAAATGGAGAGACCAATGAGAGCCATGTTAGTGTTATCTAATAATTCATTGCAAGATTTACAACATCCTCTTAACATACAGCCTTGTTCTCTCTCTGAATACCTCTGTCTCTGTACCATTGCAGAAGGCCTTTAATCTATCCTCCTCTGTGACCTCTCAAGTTGCCAAACTGGTCTGTTATTACTCAGTAAATGACAGTCTTGGGACCAGCAGTTGGTGTAATGGCTATGTCGTTGGACTACCCTGTAGTCAACTGCGGTTCGCGTCCTGGACCCGGTGGCTTAAAACTCATGCTGGGTGCGTGTGCGTGCGTGCCCAAGATCCCGAGATGAGAATGGAGGAGAAGGGATTGTGGCATGGCCATCCTCCCTGGGGAGTGATTTCTCACTTTCTGTCTCTCTGTCTTTCTGGTGAGCCCAAAAACCTTTCCAAAATAAACAAGCAAACCAACAAATAAATAAATAAAAATAATAAAAAATAACAGTCTTTTCTACAGCAACAATACTGGCCCTGAAATAAATAGCAATAATAATAGAAAATAAGTCTTTTCTTCAGCAATAACCCTGGCCCTGGTTCTATTCAAAGCATCTATACAGAGTGAGGGTTATATTTATGTGGCTTAGCTCTTCTCTTCTGGTTGGAAAGGAAACTGTGTTGTATATTAGAGTCAGCAATGCAACAAGGCTGAGCAAGTGATGGTAGCATCCAATGATGTGAAACTCCTTGTGTCTCTGCACCTGGAATACCTGTTTGGTGATTTTTGGAGGCGTGTTGTGAAGTGGCTCTGCCTTAGAGGTGACTTGGCTATTGCTTGTGTGTTTTTTGTTTTGTTTTGTTTTGTTTTCACCCAGAAAAATTGCTGAGTGGGACTCACCTCTTGTCTCCAGAGAAACTATTTCCCCTGCTGATGGGAAGGACAATGAAGGTGGAGCCTTGGTCTGCGTTTGGTGAAAACATGATTCCGAAGTAGCCTATTGCTATGACTAGTTATAATGGAAAGTGGCCATTTGCATCACAGAGCTATTGCTCTACTTTATTTTCAAACTATGTATAGAATAATGTTTGGGACCAGCAGTTAGCATAATGGCTATGTCGCTGGACTCCCATGTAGTTGATCACGGTTCGCGTCCCGGACCCGGTGGCTTAAAACTCACGCCTGGCGTGTGTGCGTGCGTGCCCAAGATCCCAAGAGGAGAGTGGAGAAGGGATTGCGGCGTGGCCAGCCCCCCTGCGGGGGTGATTTCTCACTTTCTGTCTCTCTGTCTCTCTCTGTCTGTTTGGCGAGTGCACAAGCCCTATAGCAAGAACCTCTTCAAAAAAAAAAAAAAAAGAATAATGTTTATAATCCATTGATACTGTACAAAAGGAAAAAGAGAATCACACTCATTGATCAAGGACCTGGCTGGAATCCTGTAGTTGGTATTCTTCACATAGCTATGAGAAATCGCTTTGAGACTTTTTCGTTTGTTTCTTTCTTCATGAGTGAGAGAGAGAAAGAGAGAGAGAATCAGTACCTCGGACAGGGTTCCGACTCCACGGCCTACCTCCAGTGTTCAGCCAGGCCCAGATCGCGGGCAAGATTGTGCACAGCCTACTCAGGGAGGGCTCTGGACTTGAACTGGAAACCCTCCCACCCAGGATTGCCTCAGGGGCACTGTGTTTTTCTGCTGCATCATCAGCTGGCTTCTTCTTTGTGCTCTTAGCTTGCAAATATTTGCAACATCAGGAAACCTCCGGGAAGCATCATTTTCATTTTTTATCTGTAAAATGGGGATAATAACCACTTATGATGTGAGAAGTAAGCATAATATCGCATCTGCTCATGTTGTTCAGTGGATACTTGCGTTTATATTATTGGAAGTAAGCTCTGGCTTCAAATGCAGAAAATGCATAGGAAGTAGCCAGGTGTCTAAAACTCAGTTTAATTCTTTAGTTTGGAAAAACAAACAAACAAACAAACAAAAAAACACCCCAGTGTAAAAGATTACATGCTTCTATACTCTCTGTTATTTCAGATACAGAAAAAAATGTTTGAAGGCTTTACTACATATAGCTCCTCTAATACATAGCGTTATTTCACACAATATATATCAATTTCTCCATTGTCTTAAGGAGACATTCTATTTGTCCTTAAATATGCTCAAATTTTGGTTTCCGAAAGGAGTATTTTAAAATCCAGCTCCTTGGGAACCAGCAGTTAGTGTAATGGTTATGTCGCTGGACTCCCACGTAGTCGACCGCGGTTCATGTCTGGTACCCGGTGGCTTAAAACTCATGCCAGGCACGTGTGCATGCATGCCCAAGATCCTGAGAGGAGAATGAAGAAGAGATTGCAGCATAACCATTCCCTCTGGGAGGTGATTTCTCGCTTTCTGTCTCTATGTCTCTCTCTGTCTGGCGAGCGCATGCACCCTATAGTGAAAACCTGTCAAAAAAAAAAAATCCAGCTCCTAGTAATATAAAAATGAATGCATGCAGAACCTCTATAACAAATATATCAGTTTCATACATAATTATTTGTAGATTTATATTGTGATTTAGGAACATATGCATATGGTATGGCTTACCCAGAAAAAGAGTGCAGTAAGATATCTTTAGTTCTATTTTTCAAAATATCACAAATAGTTTGAGAACATAATTATGAGTCACATACTCCCAATTTTCAAAAATATTAGCATCCAAATGAAAATGTTCAGCTCTTATTAAAATATCTCAATTTTAAGACCAA